CTGTGATGGACTGGAGACCTGTCCAGGTGTCCCTGTGATGGACTGGAAACCTGTCCAGGTGTCCCTGTGATGGACTGGAAACCTGTCCAGGTGCCCCTGTGATGGACTGGAAACCTGTCCAGGTGCCCCTCACCTCTTGCAAAGTGACTGCTGGATATGGGCATCAGTGACCCCCGTGACCAGAAAAGGAAGAAACGGGTAAAGATAATGGATGGATGGATGAAGGATGGATGGATGCTGGATTGATGATGGATGATGGATTGATGATGGATGGATGATGGATGGATGGATGGATCAAAACACCACATTCATCAGATGAATTTTAATTGATAATTTGTCAACCATTAACCTCAGATTTTTCTTAAAATGCTTCAGTGATGTCAGAACCAGAACCACTGACCTGCTTTTGATGGGTCCAAACTTCACAGAATTACAGAGTTCTTCTCTGTAATTCAAACGTGTCCTCCTTGTTGTCCTCCTCTTTCTTCTTCTTCAGAGTCAGGCTGGTGACGGATCAGAGTGAAGAAGAGCAGCAGATCCAGTTTTCATCAGTTCTTGGTTTGGAGGGGCTTCCGTTTGTTTGTTGGTGTTCCTCAGCTCTGACCTTCTGCTCTAAATTTAACCTGTTTCTTCAGCCTGAGACCAGCTCCACTGATTCACCATCAGCTGCTCCAACAGCCTCAACACAGCTCCTCCCACTAATCTAACCCCTCCTACAGATTTAACCACTCCCACTCCTTTTACTCTCCTACTGATTTAACTCCTCCCCCTCATCTAACCCCTCCTGCAGATTTTTTTTTATCCATTTATTCATTCAATTAAAAGAAACAAAACAAATCCATTAAAAAAGAAAAACATTGACTGAAAAGGGTGCAGAAAGAAGAACATTCTTATACCCTTAAAAAAAAACAAAAAAACAACAACAATTTAGGATTGAACAATTTCCAAAGTGAAAACAAAAAATATTAGACATCCTTCATTTAGCACCATACCTGCCCAACAACTTTAACTTAATCATCTTTTTAAACATATAAATTGTTTTATAAATTTTTTTTGGCCATATCAAGACAACCACAACCGTATCATCTGAATTCCAATGCAGCTCCTTCAGACTAGTTCTAAATGGAGGTTTTACAAACATTTTCATTCCCATCCATTCATCCATCCATCCATCCATCCATCCATCCATATATCCATCCATCCATACATACATGCATCCATCCATCCATCCATCCTTCCATACATCCATACATCCATACATCCACACCTGCCTGAAGACCGCCACCATCATCCCAGTCCCAAAAAGCTCTACAGTGACTGGTCTGAATGACTATCGGCCAGTGGCCCTCACCCCGATAGTCGCTAAATACTTTGAAAAACTGGTCATGACCCACATCAAAACAACCATCAACATCAATGAGGACCCTCATCAGTATGCAAACCATGAGACTCGATCAACAGAGGATGCAATCTCCTCTGTGGTCCACACTGCGCTCAACCACCTGGAGCAGAAAAACTCTTACGTCCGTATGCTCTTTGTGGACTTCACATCCGCATTCAACACCATGATCCCCCAAACCCTGATGGACAAACTATCCACACTAGGACTAAGCCCCTCCATTTGCAACTGGGTACTAGACTTCTTAACAAACAGACCACAGTTAGTGAGGATCCACAACTTCTCCTCCTCCACCATAACCCTCAGCACTGGCTCTCCTCAGGGATGTGTGTTGAGCCCCCTCCTGTTTACTCTGCTTACGTATGATTGTGCAGCTACCCATCCAGGCTGTCACATTGTAAAGTTTGCAGATGATACAGTGGTGGTGGGATGCATCACAAACAATGATGAGTCCAGCTACAGGCAGGAGGTGGAACACCTGGAGAGCTGGTGCAGAGAGAATAACCTTCACATCAATGTGAAGAAGACAAAGGAGATGATTGTGGACTTCAGAAGGAACATAAACATCTACACCCCCCTGAACATAAGAGGATCTGTGGTGGAAGTGGTCTCCAGCTACAAGTACTTGGGTGTACACATGAATGACAATCTCAGCTGGAGCAACAACACCACCAGCCTGATGAAGAAAGCTCATCAGAGACTCTACTTCCTCAGGCGGCTGAGGCGAGCTGGTCTGGGAAGCTCAGTCCTCACCTCCTTCTACAGGTGTGCAGTGGAGAGCATCCTGTGCTCCAGCATCAACGTGTGGCATGGAGGCTGCACAGCTGCAGAAAGAAAAGCTTTGCAGAGAGTGGTGAAGGCTGCACAGAAATCTGTCGGAATCAGCCTCCCCACCATCACAGACATCTACACCTCCAGATGCAGGAAGAGGCCCACCTGCATCATGAAGGACCCCACTCACCCAGCACACACACTTTTTGCCCCACTCCCCTCAGGAAGGAGGTTAAGGAGCATTAAGTGTAGAACCACTAGACTGAGGAACAGCTTCTACCCTGAGGCTGTTAGACTCATGG